GACACTGATATCGAAAGATTGCTATCATGGCTATGCATGAATTCAGCCTACCTGAACATGAACAAGGGTTTGCACCACTAGACACAATAAGATTAGCACATATATTTGCTATAATAATTTGAGAAGCTGAAGAAGGAACGGATGTATGTTTTCTCAAGACACCCGTGCACCTCTTGCAAACGTGAGTATGAATTTGCTTCTCGTCCAACATACATCTTCTGTTTAGACCCAAATACGGTGGCAACTCAAATTTTAGATTCTCATAAAATGGATGTATCTCTAGGCATGATCTGATTCGTCTAATGTCTAGAATACAAGAGTACATAACATTGGTTCACACTTAACGGTGATATCCAGATCAGAGATTATTGAATTTGAATCCAAACCGTGTGTGTCTATTACAAGGTAAAGACTCGGCAGCTTATCATTCTGTCACACTTCGAGTTTGGAAGTGCTTTCTCCGCTTCTTTCTATGATGTGATATAGTAAGCAATATCATCCTGAGTCTGTAAAAATATAAAATTGAAGAAACAATCGTAAGAGCAAAGATATATTTCTAATAGTTGGTCATTAAATACTGGATGCAACCTAAATGTTAAAGCTTCAAAACGATTATTGTATCGTGTGTATCGGATGAAAATTATTACTCAACGATGTAAGCAGTTCCTCCAAGTGACCATATACAAGCCATAAGAATTATATAGTCTATAGAAACTGTCCAACAGTAAGTTATGGACGAGATTTATCCTCATATAAAAGAAAAGTGATATATATGACAAGACTTTTGTTACGTTATTACTAGTATCATTGTTGTCCCATTCAAGACCTAGCTGAGAGAACGTTGCAAATGTATCAGTGCGTTTTGGATCTTTCGGTATCTACATCTACATCAACAACTGATACACGTGTACATTGCGAGAACGAGAAAATTCGTGATCTTACAACAAGAATTTATAATAATAATAATAACAATAAATGGTCTTTATTCATCATTCAAGGTAACTTAAGAAAAAAATGCAATGATAAAATGATGAAAGGAGTAGTTCAGCTGGTTCCTCACTTAAATTAGATCTTCTGTAAAATCACACGAAAACTGAGGTGTGACCCTTCTAGGGATGAGCGATGGTAGGTATATTTCCGGAGTGGAGATTTTATCATTATGCATCTAAGAAAATTGAGTGCATGATAAAGAAGCTAGTAAGTATCGCCTATGCACAAAAATCAGTAGTTTTTGAGATTTTTGTTTTTATGAATTTCCCACTACATCCACACAAAAATCGGAAGTCTGCAAGATGGAAGAAAGTCTATGTATTAAATAGGTGGAATTTTAATTTATTGTCTAGCAAAAACCAACTTTCATTTTCTGTTTCCCATGGAAAGAAATTGTGTTAATCTTTTATATTTATTATTCTCATACAATTGGTGATGCTCTTATGCATATTCTAAACGTTATGTCGTCATTTATATATAGGCCTGGTAATACTTAGTTCTCAAAGTTGTGGGTCAGCCTTTATACCTATATCATTAATTAAAATCGTAATAACCCTCTAACCGATATTGGTAAAATGTAAATTTGTCAAGATCAAACAATCACAGATGTACAGCCCAAAAATTAACCAAAATACTTCGAGGAAAAAGGCTTTATCAAAAATATTCATGGCCATATCGGCCGCATATTCTAATTTTTAGTATCAGATCTATATATGTACATGCAAAAATACAACTAATTTTAACAGAGACGGATGAATAATTTACTGAGATTTTCACTTCTATTGATACTATCAAAAAAATATTTGACATCCTGTGTGCTGAAACGAACCAATAACGGACCTGTGTTTATATGGACTTTTTGCCTTCGATTGCCAGAAATCGAAGGAATCGTTCTCTGTAGATTGGAATTCATTAACACCCTATTATTTGGTTAAGAATTGACACTGCATCAACAGGTTAGCACTAAACATATCACCACCAAGATACTCACCAATTATCACAATGAATATAAGCGAAAGTCCAACGCCTCAAAGCATCATCAACCTCAGCACAGCCACAAGAAAACAGAGGTGTTAGAGAGGTACACGTGAATCAACTCGTCATAGTCCGGAAGCGCGTCAACTACGGTCCTGAAGGATATTGTTGACGCGTCCGCGGCGCGTCCACAACTGAAAACTCGCCGCCGTGGAAACATGTTGAGCTGGGAAAGCTTCGATCGTGCGCAACTCACAGCGGTTTTCATTTTCGGCATCTTACCGGACCCTGTCTGTCCCTTAGGAGATTTCATATATCAAGTTGTTTTATAAATTGCAAAGGTGTTGTTATGGCTTACGATTCTTATCAAAGCAGTTCATTAAACGGAATATAACAACTTTTATTCTATGCCACTGTTAGGTGCCATGTCCGTTTTGGTATTCTCAATAGGGGTAGTACTTTACTAACTGAAGCAGATCATCTCCTGTAAAATATTCTGTTATCGATAACATGTTGAGAATTTTTGAGAACACTGAAAACAATAAGTACTTAAATTAATGAGTTGGCTATGTTTGTTTTAAAGAATCGGCGAGACTTGTACGTCATCAAAGATCATCATGCACATTGAATTAGATCTAAAATGCTCTTAGCTAACCCAGACATGGAATTACGGCATATTCCATTTCATCGCCCCGAATTTCGGCTTGCTAAGTAGACCTATTCAAAAAATTGGTAAGCGGATCTTTTTGAGGACTAAATATAAATCTATACTTTTGTTTTATTATTATCTCTACAGCTTAGGTAAAAATAACAAACGTATACGTTGCACAACATTGCCTTTGCAAAGTTCACTTAACAACTGCCTCTGACATTTGGCATTTTGAAGGTTGTTAATTACGTTCCGACCTCGTAAATAGAACTGGTGTAGTACAATAGTACCCCGTTTCTCGGACATACCTACGAGTTCAAAGCGCGCACGCAGAGAAGAAAAGCAGCTCGCCGCGCCCTCCCACCTTCTTCCTCTCCGGCCCTTGGCCTACAAATTATCATTCCTTGTTGCCTCACGGTAAACATCGAGTTACTCGTTCGCGCACCGATTTTTACGTTTCCAGCAGTGTCGATGTGCCCAAACATAAGAAACGACAAAGAAATAGCTCCTCATATGAGCAATCGCTGAACACAAATATTAGACAACTGGGGTGAAGGTGGGCCGATAATCATGATCTGCGTTATCGGCGGGACACCGACTGAGGGATACCTTCAGGGTTCCACCACCAACCGCCACAGATGCAGAGCCAGAAAGTGGCGTGCCGGCCTCTTTTTCTGAAGGGGCGTCACCATCAGGTAATTGTCGACTAATTGATCTGTTTGAGGTGCAAGTTATTGAAGTAGGTATGTTAGTATGGATGCGTCACTGGCGTTGCAGACTGTGCCTGACACGACGCTTGGATAACGTTCCGATACTAGACTTAGTTGCTTGGGATAGCAACCTGGACCTAGCTTGTGATAGCCAACTCGATACCCAGGACGAACAAAGACGTTCGGGATAACGTTGAAACATTGGACTCGGTTGCTTGGGATAGCAACGTGGGCCTGGCTTGTGATAGTCACCTCCACACCAAGGACGAACGAAGCCGTTTGGGATAACGACTCAATACTGACCTCCGTTGCTTGTGATGGTAGCTTGTACTTAACTTGTGGTGGCTAAGATCCCTCGACAAATCACAACCCTGAAAGCATTTGGGACAACGTACCGACAGAGTATGGTCAACAATTTCTTCTGATTTGCTTGTGATAGCAAATTCCACCTGGCTTGTGATAACCATGGAAAAGGACTGTAAGTATGAATATGACAGGTTACGAAACCGCCAAGGTCTATTTTTCCTTATTACCAGATAGAGATTAGGTACCTTATGTGAGGTTAGGGTTACATTTTTCTTGTGATAGCAAATTCCATCTGGTTTGTGATAACTATGGAACAGGATTGGAAGGATGCACATGACAGGTTAGGAAACCGCAGAAGTACCTGTTTTCATTAATAACAGTCAGAAATTAGGTACATCTATGGTAGAGTAGCGTTACATTTTGCTTGTGATAGCAAATTCGATCTGGTTGGTGATATCTATGGAAACAGGACTGGACGTATGTATGAACATATCAGGTTAGGAAAACACCAAACTGCTAATTTAAATAACGGAGATTCGGTACCATTATGCCCGATTGGCATTACATTTTGCATAGGTGGCACTCGAACATCAGGTCGCTCTAGATCAGCAGTTTCCAAGCAGGGGGGCGCGTCTTCCAAGGGGGGCGGAAAGCGTTTGCATTTTAGAAAGAAAAACAAAAAAAAATAAACAAACAACATTAACAAATAACATTACACGCATAAAATTAGAAATTAAATATAATATTCACTTATTCTGTCAACCGCTGTTTCAAAACCCGGCGTCGTCAATCGCAGTTTATACAAGTATTGACAAGTCACAACATGAAATTCGCGCGCACCCCCGCCGCGCTCCGCTTAACATTCATCACTTAGAAAACAATTGTGTACCTACCAGACGCGGATGAGCATTTGTGACATTCATTCCCACAAACTTGCGAAACATTTGACGTTTCGATGTACATGTTTTGTTGAGAAATCTGTTTGAGTGTGTCAAATTATTGTGTCTCACTTTTAAAAGGTAAGTTTGTGTATTTACAAACAGTTACCGTTTTTATTTAATTTATTAAATTGTTGATTGAGTGGAGACGCGTTCATAGATTGGCCATTGGGACTTTTTTACCACATCACAATCAAACCAACGTAACGAAATAATTTTGAAACGACGAACTTTAAGTACCTAATATTGATTCCAAATATATTTAAAATTACTATTATAACGTCAACGTGCCTACAAAGATATAAATCTCCCGGTGGCCAATATACTGTTGAATACATTACGTTATTAAGATAAAATAATGGGCATATAATTAGTAATTACATGTAGGTATTTTGTTTATTTATTTATTACTTATTTGTTTTATTGTTATAGGTGCAAAATGGCAGCGAAAAAAAGAAAGTTTCCCGACGATTACGTTAAGTTTGGATCTCTACCTTCATAGAAAAAGACGAGTTACAATTGCCCCAGTGTGTGATATGTATGAAAGTTTTAAGTAATGATAGCATGAGACCCAGTCGCCTTGAAAGGCATTTGAAGCAACAACATCCTATTCTGGTTTTGAAAACGAAAGAGTTTTTTTCTTCTAAAGCAGAATCACTCAAGCGGATGAGACTGGATAAATCGGGAAGTTATCACACAGGTGTATAGCAGCATCTCAAAGCTTCATTTGAAATAGCTTTTATGATAGCAAAGCAAAAGAAACCTCATACTATCGGTGAAGAATTAATAAAACCGTGTGCCCTAAAAGCCCCGCTGATAATTTTAGGAGAAGATGCAGAGCAAAAAATGAGGTCTATTTCTCTTTCGAATAACACAGTCAAGCGTAGACTCGATGACATTGCAGCAGACATAAACTCACAAATAATTAACAAAGTAAAATTATCCAAATTTTTTGCCATTAGTTGCGATGAGTCCAATGACATTGTTAATTGTGCACAGTTAATAGTTTATGTTCGTTACATCGGCGGAGATATCATCGAAGAAGAGATTTTGTACTCCCAGTCTTTGACAGCAGGTACTACATCTGAAGATATATTTAATGCAATATCAAATTTTGTTGAAAAAATTATTTGGACTTTGCACAGATGGCGCACCTGCAATGATAGGTGTACGATCAGGCTTAGCTAAAAAGCTCAAGGAAAAAAATCCATGGACGGAGGTGACAAAACGACAAATAATCTCATGCTCGCTGGTCGCTTTGGAGGGCTGTACATGCTTTTGGGTACGCAAATGCCTACCCCAGGCGGTCCTACGCTTTGCTGGTTTTACGCAGTGCCATCTCAAAATTGGAATGACGCCTTCGCACAATCTCAGCATGTTACATGATGTTACTATTATAGTAACATACTGTTCAGGAATGTGAAAATGAAAGGAAAAACACTTGACCTGCTTTGCAGTGGTTCTTCGCTTGAGAGTGATACGTTCCCGAACTGCTCCAGGAAATAATGCATTAGAATACAACGTACAGTGGAACGGTATTAGTGCTGAGCACTACTGAGTTACTCCGAGTTACTCATAGTAACTCAACAGCAATTGATAGATAAAATATATTGTCAAAAAATTGTACTCGCAGGTCACCGTTGGAGGCTGTGGTTGGGAGCAAAACTTCGCGTCGTGCAATAAAGAGGAATTTTGAACATATGTGACTGATTCGGTCGGAGAAACATGACGGATTATCAACATGAAAACAGGATCTGTTCCAGATGTTACATTAATTAAAAAGTTAGTTTCTGACGGATTAGCATCTCAAATAATATGGTATTTTTTAAATGTAGTAAAGGTCCAGGCAAGGAGGAAAAATATTGAAGCAAATACATGTTGAACCGACAAAAAGATTCATAATAGTAGATGAAGCAGGAAGGTCGCGGCAACTATTATTATACGAACTATAAATGTATGTACAGGGCTAGGGCGGATTTAGGGGGCGAGAGAGCGCGCCTTCCCTAGTCGCCCAAATCTGCCATTTCCTAATAAAATGCTGTATCTTGGTGTAAACATTACCTTTCCAGAACTAAAACGTGAGACGTGCTCCCATCCTCCTCAAGCGTATCCCACTCCCCGCCCTTCAATTGTCACAAGGACATTTGCTCTTTGCTGTCGTCTATCCGCACTGCTCCCCTGTAAATACAAGTCTTAATATTGGGGATCAGCCTTCCAGTCTATGCCATGGTCAGTTGCATCTCATCTCTCCTGACATCTAACAAAAAGTGCCCCCCTTTCGTCGCTTTCAGCTACGGCGCCCTTTTTATAGAGTGCGCATCTCTCCTCGGCCAGCAAATCAATTGGCGAAATACCAGCTACCACAAGCAGTGTGTCGGTCGACATAGTTCTCTAAGCGCAGACAACAGGCAGCACTACTTTTTGCTGGTTTCTGAGCATTAGTTGCCTATGTCTCTTCTCCATTATCCAGAATATTCATTTTAATTTTTACTTTACTTTGCTTAACGGAATTACAAAAATACAGTCATAAAATAGCCGATTTATTCGCTTTGATAGACAAATGAGAGATAAGTTTCTCCTATTTTCCAAGAATTTTATTCCATTAAAAAAAGCAACTTTATCTCAAGTATATCCAACGTCGAACCGAGGCTTATAATATTTATTTATTTATACATAATTGTCCAAGAGACTAATCAAATTACAGGGCAATATCTGATGTCTCTGTGGCCACTAATCTATTATGCTTAGTAAAAACTGTGATTTTGGCTACGGTTAACGAGACAAATGTTTTTTTTTTTTCGTTTTTATGCTGAACTCCCTGAAATGCCGCATATATATCGTATTAACTTTTTGGTTTGTCGACATAACACAAATTAACCTGGTTCGGTTTTGATATAAATTTCAAATCAACTTGCATAAGTTGTATTCCTAGGCCTACCTGTTTATTGCTTAGCAATTGCTATCTTTATTATTCTCATAAGTGGAGGCAGTCACTTCCAAAATAGTTCGTAACTGATTCAAATTAAATTTAAGCAGTTAAGGCAAGTTAATTGCCTTTACCAACTGTTTTCTCATATTCTCACCCCATAAAAAATTATTTCTACGACGTGAAGTATTGTTGGAAAGGTTATAAGACAGAAACATTTTGTCAATAAAGCTAAGTTCACAAAAAGGTATAGTTTTTTGCAGTCAAATTTTGAGCTTCAAACTTTTTTATCTACTTCGCACAATTTTATACCTTTGGAAGGTCATAAGTCATTTTTTAAGCACGTTTGTATAATTTGCCTTGATTACGCATGCATTACAGAGCCCAGTCGCCTTTATTTTGTGTTATTATCTCGACAAACAAAAAAGTCGATATTTATGCACAACTTCAGGGAGTTCGTCATAAAAAAACTGTATGTCAAAAAATGTTGCCGGTTTATGTATCAAACACCCTGTACAGGTTCTGCTACCGATCCAAGCATTTTTTGCATAATTTCTATCAAGTAACGAAACATTCGGAACGACTTCAAAAGAAAACAATTCATAGAGTGTCAATATTCCTTCCCATGAGGGATACGAGTTTCTGAAATTAAAGGCAGTCCGTCGTCAAGGAGACCCAGATCAATGCGAAACTTTAATCTCGAGAGTTGAAGAAGCTCCATATTGAAAGCTTTTGATACCTGGTGACTCATGTAATATATGCGGAAGTAGAAGCTTGTAAAGTACATGTGTTTCTTTCAGAGGCCGATGTGAAAAGTGAGCTGCATGATTTGCTGGAGTGCTGTACTTTGCCCAAAACTAAGAGGTTTTTTGCTTGGAAAACAGATTTCGTCAATTTATATCAGTAGGAGTTTTTTAGATAATCCACTACTCGCCTAAAAAAATGGCAACATGGCTTTGTACTTTTCACGCAATTATTCAATTAGATTCTCTTCGGTAGGGTTATTACGTAAAAAACCTATGTAATATCTAAAAAACGGTGAAATGTCAGCTCATGCAATAGGTAGCTAGTTCATTCCATGCCAACTGCAAATGAGCATGAAGTGAATGTGAGCTAGTTCAAAAGTAAAATTTTATAGGAAAACTTGCATTTCAACAACCTAAATAACATACATCGTAAAAAAAATCGCGATACAATGTCACTTTTTAAGTTAAGTTATACGGGTTCAGTTCCAAACACATTGCCATATGATTAAAAAAATCGTCAAATCGAATTCATGTAAGATTATAGCGTTAATTTATTTCGAGGAAATTTCTAATAAACTGAGTTCAAATGCGTTTTTTATTTGTGTTTATTTATAAGATGTAGAGTAATTTGTGGTAGTAGTAGCTGCTAAAAATAAAGTCAGATAAATTAGATCCTATACTGTTCGTCATTGTTCGTCAGAGCGGTCTGGTGGATCTTTGATCTTAACAAAAGTCTCGTCGGTCTGTTAGTCTGTCAGGTCTGGCTACACAGACACCAACAAGGTTCAAGGTGAAAAGGGAAGGAAGGAAAACAAGAAAGGAACCGATAGAGCAAAGAAAAGAAATAAATCATTTGAATTAGAAGACGCTTAAGCATTATTGGGTTGAGTACTCGAATAATTTTGTAATTACAAGAAATAATTTTCATCGGTTTTGTATACTGAAATAATTTTGGTTGATCTGAAATTCACAACTCAATCTTGATCACAGTGCAAGGCATGGTCTAGAGTGTTTGCGAACTTGCTCGACGGTGTAGTCTACTGAATCACGCCACAGAGTGTTGTTGTACGATTCCACTTGATTATTACGCCGATTTGTCTGTTATCTAACGTAATCCATTAAATATGGGATGTCAAGATCTCTGAGAATGGTCTCATATGACACGTACCACGTAATTGTGCGAGGCTTCTGTTTTGTAGGACTTGCAGTCTCTGCATATGCGTCTTGGCGAGAAAATACCAAGCCGCGCAAGCGTACGTGATTGCGGGTCTAATGACCATTATATACGACCGAATCTTGTTCAAACTTTAGTTTACATTTCTGCACCACAAAGGATAAAACTGCTGACTGCCTATTAGTGCAGCGTCGTCAGTATAGAGATAGGCTTCACTGTCTCCGAGGCAAGAGACGTGATGTACTATATATAAAGTGAATAAGGTATTGGTCCTGAGATCAAGCCCTGAGGAACGCAGGCTCCTAGCGTTACAGACAAAACATTATTAATTCTCATCCGAAATTTCCTTCTTTCTAGAAAAGATTCCAACAGTTTTAGAAACTAAAATGGAAAGCCCTTTTGGGTGAGCTTATACATGAGACCCATATACCACACCTTCTCAAGTGCCTTTGATACAGTCTTTCCGCAGTGGTCGATTCTGGAACTTTGCGCCGTTTTATTTCGAAAGACCGTACCTTTGGTATAGAGGATAGTTTCGATGTTTTCGTTCGTTCGTCCAGAGACAAAAGACAAAGCCTAGACCATGCTGATAAATAGCTAAGGAGCAAGAAACAGCTGTCTTTGGTTTGCTGTCTGTTTGGTCAGACTGACGAAAGCATCATGTTTGGTTTGTCTTTGATACAACGAAAAGCAAGATAGCAGTACTTTTGTTGAAGGTGAACTCCCGGGTTACATGCCCCACCAGTCTAACTGCCTGTAGCTCCATACTATGATAAATTAGATCTTCGTAAAAAAAATTAACTACGCACGTGTCTATCCAAAAGAATCAAATGGAATCGAAACTTGGTTACGTATGTTCACTTATGTAAGAATTCTTTCCGGAAAAATATCTGCTTGCACCTCCACCATATTTGTGATTATGACACGTCTAACAGAGATGTCTAAATTAGATGAGAATCTTCTTAATAATAGAACATCTTACATAAACTTTAGCGGCTCCAAAAAATGTCCAAAAATGAGCAGAAGTCTCTGAAGCAAACAAAAAACCTTTCCGAAAATATAAACATTTCTCGTCCTTGGAATCTTTTTGTCAAAATTTCATAGACACAAACATAATATATCGCTTACCAAATTTTTAAAATAGCTCCTTGTTAATTCACGTAGGAAGTAAAACGGGGGTCCAGCAGATTATCTAAGTACTATGGATCCATCAATATAAATATATTTTCGAATTATACACACATACAAATTAAGAGTGTTTTTGGAACCGCAACAAAATACTGATGGATTCGAGAAGCAAAACAAATATTAGATTTTTTTTTAAATTTCAGATTCACAAAAT